GGTGTGAGTTAGTTTATGCTGATTCCTCGTGTTCTTCGACGTATTGCTGGCCTCTGTGTATCCAACACGATTGGTCGATGGTTAACGGGGTTGCAACGGAGCGTACCACCTCGCAGCGACCCGGTTACCGGAAGTTGGGAATTTCTTTGGCGGAAACTCTGGTTTCTATGGCCGTCGCAATGGCGACGTTCCCCCGTTTATTCGGCAAATTGGCCCGTGCAACACAGGCAAAAGACAGGTTATGGCGCTTTCAAGCTCTTTCTTAAAGAGAAGAGTCAGCCACTCCCGACGAGTTTACGCGAACAATTAATTTTGCGAAACACGTCAGTCAGTTGACACGATGGAAATTTAATGGCTGAGAGTCAACTCCTCGTTGAAAGGAGTTTGTAAGTAAATCTGGATTCATATATTTGCTGGGAACGAGAACTTCATGTAAAGTTTATTGGAGTTTATTTTTTACTTTAGTTCGGTCATCTTTTCAAAACTTTTAAACAATGTGATTTTTATGTTTATTGTGCATCATGCTTGGCACTGAAGAAAGTTGCAGTCTAAGAATAATAAGGAAGAAGTTGTAGCTTCGACATTTTAGATCTCGACACTATCAAGTTAAAATACTGTAATACTTTCTTCGATGATCTCCAAGTCCACGACTTTTTCAAGGTTTCTCACACAAGTTAGACGCAGTTGTCTAATAATATTAAAAGTAAATTCAAAGAAAACATACTAATATGAGAAAGTCTCTGAAAAATGCACAAGATGAAAAATTATCGATCGTCAACCTGACGAAAAAATTCTTTTCAATGCTTATTAAGAATGTTCGAGTTCGACTCAATCTTTTTTTTCAGAATAATGTAAAAATATCTTTCTAAAAAGAAAAAAAAAAAAAGAGAAAAATGAATGCAGGATCTAAGTCTGACCTTCTTTTTAAAGAAGTTACACGTAAAAGTTTGAAGTGTCGATTTCCTTTTATAAAATATCGACATTTGCGAAAATAAAATTCTAAGCCGAAAACGGGAGAATTATCGACATTTTAAGCTTCCACAATTTCTTAACAAAAGATCGTAGATCCATTACTCTTTCGTAGCGTGAAGGATGTTTTTGCGTCATTTTGAACGAGATTGAAATTGAGCAACTGATTAAGTATCTTCTCTCTCGAGAAATCTTCGAATATTCTTGCCAATTGCAAGAAGAAATTTCTCCCGTAGTCTTGAAAACTCTTTTTTACAACTTACTTTCCTTGAGATTGAAACGTACCATTTTCCCCTCCTTAATGGCCGTTTAAAATATAATTTCAATCAGCAGAAATTGGAAACATGATTTTCCATGTTGCACGTACGTACGTGCGAGTTTTAAAAAGTGTAAGGAATTTTATTACATTCGCCGTAATTAACAACCAGCTGATTACCAATCGCTTGCTCAACAACTCGAAGAGACAGAAAAAAAAAAA